ATATATATATATATATATTATATATATATATATATAATATATATATATATATATATATATATTTTATTTTAAAAATAACTTGATTTATATCTTAATCATTTTTATTATAAAAAAGACCATGAAATTAAAAAAATATTAACCCAAATTAATTATATTAAAAAATAATAAATCATGCAATGAGTTGTCCTCACTCGCACACTTTCCGGGCATGCTTAATTATAGAGTTCTTATGGGTTAGGCTACCGAAAAGCAAATGCATTTTGGTGATATGAGTAGCGAAATCAATCCCTTTAAGTTGTCCTTCAACTGTATAGGCTCATACCTATACAGTCTCTAGATCTCTCTCATTTCGATGTATGTTCGATTCTTCCATGTGTCCCTCCCACTAGAAGCCTGTCAGGAGCCGCTCTTTATTTGTGTCTTTTGCACTTCATGCCTCTTGTACCAGCGATCACTCCTCGTCTCTTGCACTTCGTGTCTCTTGTAGCGGCGATCACTCCTCGTCCTCGTCAGTGCCCGAGTGTCACAAAATAAGTATTATTTCTTTAATATTGTAAATAAGTTCAATTTAATCATAAAATAAATATAAACTTATTGTCTAGATAACTATAACACTAATTACAAAATTATTTTTGCAAAAAAGAAGTACAGTAAAAAATCAACTTAAATTGATGTAGATAATTACTTAAATAACAGTTAATTTTTTCCAGTATGCTCATAATTGGCATTATGTCACTTTATCACCCATAAGAAGGTCTGAAGACTGAACCTACTAATGTGATAAGTTGTGGATTTTCTAAAAAAAACACTTTTAAGTAAAAGTACAAGAGAAGGAAAATGTAAATAACTGGGTTCAGCTAGCTTTGGGCCGACGATAACCAAACAAAAAGGCCGTCTCCATTGGACGAGATAAACCCTCATAACAATTTCCCCTTCTCAGCACAAACCCAAGTCGAACCCTAGCTGCAGGGATGCAGATATTCGTGAAAACCCTTACGGGGAAGACATCACCTTGAGGTGGAGTCTTCTTGACACCATTGACAATGTCAAGGCTAAGATCCAGGACAAGGAGGGCATCCCACCGGATCAGCAGCGTCTCATCTTCGCAGGAAAGCAACTCGAGGACGGCCGCACTCTCGCGGACTACAACATCCAGAAAGAGTCCACTCTCCACCTCGTCCTCCGTCTCCGCGGTGGCGCCAAGAAGCGCAAAAAGAAGACTTATACCAAACCTAAGAAAATCAAACACAAGCATAAAAAGGTGAAGCTCTCTGTCTTGCAATTCTATAAGGTGGACGACTCCGGCAAGGTGCAGAGGCTCCGCAAGGAGTGCCCCAACGCCGAGTGCGGCGCAGGAACCTTCATGGCCAATCATTTTGATCGTCACTACTGCGGAAAGTGCGGTCTAACTTATGTCTACCAGAAGGCCGGTGCCTACTCATTAATGTATTTGTATTTGTTTTCTTTATTATTTTTTTGTTTTTAAAGTTTTGTTTCATGTTTGTTCGTGTAATTACTTTTATACTACTTCATCGATTTAGATTATCTATTATTCGCATTCATATTTTGTTAATTTTGTTTATTCCATTAGGGTGTTTGATCGAATTGCTATGTTGTATATTGAGATTGGGAGATCCTGTTTATTGCTCTTTTTGAGTTGTGATTTAGGTGTTATACTTTAGACGCTTGTTTATGCGCTTCTCAACACAATGAACACCGTTTTATGTAAATGTTATTTTGGTAGAGAGTTACATTGTTTAATAGATGTTTTTAGGTTTAATGTCTCGGTAGGTTTCTATTTTCGGGGTGAATCTCAAATAGGTCCCTTTTCTTTTCACGTCTCAATTGGGTTCTTTTTTGTGTAAAATTGTAGCAATTAGGGGTCTGCCGTCAAATTAAACAAACGGCCGTTTAAGTTTGGCCTACGTGTATAGTCAGTGTATTCATTAATCTGAGGTGGCATTAAAAATGAATTTTATATTAAAAATTTGGATTGCAGAAATGTGGATTCAGATTTAGGGAAGGGCAAAGTGGGCAAAGCATGTTGGCCGAACGGATCTCCCTATTTTCTTCTCCCATTTCCCTCTTATCGTTTTCATTGCCGAATTAACAAGTTCCACACAGTTTTTTAGAGTTCTCAGCGTTTATTTTTCCGGTGGAGTTTGTTTTGGGTCATGTGCAGTTGAAGCTGTGGGATTTATTCTTCTTCTCCCCTTCTTAGAGACGTGGGATGAGACTGGTAAAAGATCCAAGAGATATGAACCACAAACAAGTAGGTAATGACTGCGGCAAGTAGAGAGAGATGTTCCTATCACACATCAGCAAACTTGCTCAAGAATGATCTTGTAAGTTCTTCATTTGGAAGGAAATTTTATCACTCATTTGTTTTTTCAGCATAATTTAATTTGGATTGACGGCAAATGTAAAAACATTTTCAATCTCAATCAATTGTAATCAATCACTCTGATGACTTTGAAAATGATAATTATAGAATTCATGGGTCCAAAGCATGTTGGTCGAACTCAACCCCGAACCCCCAACACCATCCTGATCCCTCCTCCTTCTTGATCGAAAACCCCTTCCACTCTTCCTCCATCCTCACCTCCAACTCACGTGTTTTCCACGACGACTCCGAATATGACCTCAGAGCCATTCCTGGAATAGCCGGATACCCTCCTCAAAACACCACAAACAACAATTTAGATTTTCCATTGAAGTTGTACAGTATCACAGGACAAATCACCCACCAATTCCACTACCCATGGTTCGTGCCGGCAACGTCGGCAGGGAGAGACGAGATTTCTCTCTCACGCACGAAAAGGAGGTCGAAGTTTGGTCTGCTCCGTTCCGGCGTGGGTGGCGTCGTCGACGACACTCTTGGCCGGCGAAAGGAAGGAGCGACGGAGGGTAGGGAACTCCGCCGCGTGGAGGTTGAAGGAAGATGTGTTTCTCTCTTTTCTTTTCTTGCATCTCCTTAGGATTTTAGGGTTCTGAAGAAGAAAAAGGATTTCTCCTCCGCGCTTCCAATTGAAGAAGAAAAGAAGAAAAGGAGTTTGCCCAGTTTGCCTTTTTTGTCCTTGAAGAACATTTGCTCAATCCATTTTTTTAATACAAAAATCAATTCAAACTCATTTTTAATAACACGTAAGCAAACTTAAACGACCGTTTGTTTAATTTGACGGTAGACCCCTAATTGCTCCAATTTTACACAAAAAAGAACCCAATTGAGACGCCGAAAAGAAAAGGGACCTATTTGAGATTCACGCCAAAAATAAGGACCTACCGAGACATTAAACCATGTTTTTATTGTAAAATATTCACGTTTGATTAATAAATGTTTTTAGGTTTACAACTTGGTTTTGAAGTTTTATATTCTAAATTAATTGAGATTTGATTGATATAATTATTGGTTATTCCGTGGTTTTTTGTGGTGTGCATATATATTTCTAAATCATGATGTAAGGGTTGATTGTGTCTTCAAATTATTTGATGCAAGATATCTAGTAACCTAAAGACATGTTGTGTAAAATAATGTAGTTAACATTCAATATTATCATCGTAAACACATCCAAAAACAGGGACGATTAGAAATCCTGTTTTATGATATTATTCACATTATTATTACACAATATAAAAGTTCAATCACTGGAGAGAAAACAAAGACAGCCTTAGTTAAAGACAACCTTTCTTTACACCCATTTATTATCATTCTCCCATCAAAAAACTAAATTTTCCATTACAAAACCTAAAGACAAACATAATTAAATGTTAACTCTCTTATTTCAAAACACGACAAACGGAACACCAAAGTATTTGTGAAGAGAAATGAATACCAAATAATTAGACCGATTAAAAAAAAATATCTTGTTCCTAGATGTAAAAAGAATATTCCATTTCTCAAAATTGAAAAAAAAAAAGTAATGGTGAAAAGAGATCTTTATGGCACCTATGCCACCAACGTCTCCCTTGGGCCAAATAGGAAGCGATCTTTGATCAAGTAAGGTGTTAGATTCTTTTTTTTTTTCTCAAATAATAAAGTTTTTTTTTTTCTTTATCTCATCTTATTGAAATGAATAAACTTTTTAAAAAACTCACGACTTAAATAAGAACAACTTTTAAATATAATTTTCATTGAAAGTATTAATAAAAGCTATTTATTCATGTCCTCCATATATATATATATAATGTTTCCCATATTTCAATCTTGATTTTCTAAATCTAAATAATAATAAATATATTTTTATCTTGGGTTAAATATGTTTTTAGTCCCTAAACTATGCCGTTTCGGGTTTTTTTTCGTCCCTCTTCCAAACTAAGGTACGATTTGGTCCTCACACATCTTTAGAAAAAACATTCGTTTTTAGTAAGTCCTCAAATTTTGTTTTAGGTATTTTTAATATTAATAAAAATATTTATATTTTTAGAAGAAATTTAGTCCCTCGTGTGTTAGTCCTCAAAACTTTCGTTTTTCGACTAAAAACGAAACGTTTTTTTTTAAAGATTGAGGACCAAATCGTACCTTAGTTTGGAAGAGGGACGAAAACCAGAAACGGTCAATAGTTTAGGGACTAAAAACATATTTAACCCTTTTATCTTTAATGTAAGGAATTTCTAAAATTGAAAAATATTTTCTAAAAATTAATTTAAATAAGAAAAAAATATTAAATAAATATTTTTAACATTCCTTCTTACTTAATATATGTTTATTTGAATTTCAAGTATTCAAATTTAATTCTTCTTTTATTTGTGCCTGACCTTTTTCATCTTTTGCTTTAATTTTTTGCTTTCTTTTTCTTGCATGGGATTACATTTTAATTCAATTTGACTTTTTTTTTATTGTATTTCTTTTTTTTTTTATCAAAGTCATCATTTTTGGGAATTGTGGATTCCATGATAATTAAAACATACTCGGATAGTTTTCAGACTTTCGTTTGTTTATAATAAAACAATACACGTTTTGAAAAACGAATAGTGGAAAACGCAATGCTAGAAATTTTTCTTAAGTAAAGGAATCTAATTATTATTTTTAATTGGTATTTATAATTGTGGAAATGAAAAGTTGAGATGGATATATATATGAATGAAAAGGCATATATGTAGATAATACCTTATATGAGTCGTGTGCAAAAAAGTGACGAGAGTGTCAAACATCTATTCTTTAATGGATAAACTTCAAAACATTGTGATTATAGCAATAGATAAGCTCAATATATAACCACAATCTTCAAATGGTGTTCGGTGGTTGGATTGAAGTAGATTAGATGACTCGGTGATGAAGCTAAGATTGAAATAGATGAAGGTTGAGTCGAACAGTGGTTCGGTGATGAAAACTAATGAAGCGGTAATGGAGAAAATGGAAAGAGGGAAGTGGTTTAAGTGTTGTACTGTGATGCAGATGGTGTGGAGGAATGCTAGGAATGGAGCCTAGCTAGGGAGAGAGGCTAAAGGAAACTCTCAAGCTCTCTCTCGGTGACCTTCAAACAGAAGAATGATCCAGAATGAAACCAACATATTCTATTTCTTCATTTAATTCAAAGGTCAAGTTTACAAGCAACGGAGCAAGCTATTTAAAGGAGAAACAAAGCTCCTGGTTCACGCCTATTTAGCTAACGTTAACTATGATGCAATGGAACAAGTGCTAGTTGTAAAGGGTGAAGAAACGTGAGTGGCTATGTGGCCAATCAAGCAAGAAGCTGGTAAAGAAACGTGAGTGGCAGCTGGTGCATTTGTTGACGCTGGGCTCAAGCCCTCATCCATTGAGCATTAGGATTTCTTCAACTTCAACCAAGCTGCTGGTTGGAATGTGACTCATGTGGGCTTCCAAAGCAGCTTGTTATGCATCCAAGTGAAGATTCTAACATTCCTCCAAGTGAAGATTTGGCTTGCTTCTTCATTCTTGATGTTTCCTTGCTTCTTGATTCGTTGATCCATGATTTCCTAACCTTATTAATCCCTATAAAACAACATACAAACATATTAAAGATAATCCTTCTAAGACTTAGAGAAAGAAAATTAAGAAAGAGTCTTTAACAGTCCTTCTTCACTTCTCTTTCTTAGCCTTAGCTTAAGTTGATACTCCTTTGAATGAATGTCCTAAATGGGTTTCCATCAATAGTACAATGTGCGTCCTGGTCGAGAGAAAGATTTTGAATATCTTCGTTGGAGCTGCAAAGAGGCATGGTTCACGCATGGGGATGCAAAGAGGCACGACACAGGGTATGTAGTATGAGGAAAAGAAGCATAACTAAAATCATAAAAACCTAATTTAAACTAAGGATAAAAGGAAATTTCAACTTTTTAGCGGGTTGCGGGTAGTGGATACTCACGGGTACGAATAATGTAATACCTGAACCTGACCCGATAACGAGTGGGTATTAAAAAATCCGCTACTCGCTACCCGCGGATACCAACTATCCACAACAGGTTTAATCCGTGGATACCCGCGGACACGAGTTTTTTTCCATCCCTAGTAGAGAGTGTGAAAAGGAGCAACATACCTTTTTTAGAGTCTTAGATAAAT